CCCCGCGCCCAAGACCGTACATCGGCGTCAGGAACTGCGCGCCCGCCAGGTGGATGTGCGGGTCCCGGCAGCGTGAGCAGGTCCAGCGTCTGCAGCGTGGGCTCCGTGCCAACCCACTGGTACCCGTGCGACGCGTCCACCTCCGCCTCAATAAAGTCCGTGAAGAGCCGCTGCGCCATCTTGTCCCGCACGTTTGTCAGGATGACCTTGTACCCGGTGTCCTTGATCTCGCGCAGGTACGGCATGAGCGACCCGCCGCTCTCCACCACGGCGTCGGGGATCTTCACGTCCGCAACCACGTCGATGCCGGCCTGCCGCAGCGACCGGTAGAACGCGTCTGTGAACGTCGTGCTCTCGCGGCTGTGCACCACAATGATCTTGCGCCACATCTTGTTTGCCATGCTGTCGACCAGGGCCTTGTAGTACATCTCCTCGCCAAAGCCAAAGCGCCAGATGTTGGGGAAGCGCCGCCGGTTCCGCAGGTCTTCCGTCGATCCAAAGAACGTAAACGCGCAAAAGTCCTGAAAGGCGGAGGGGAGGGGGAGGGGGGATGGTGAGAGTGAGTGCGTATTGAGTGAGTGAGGACGTTAGTGAGGGAATGGGGGCATTTGTGCATTTGGGTTGTTGTTTGTGTGTCTTTGAGTGTGCTTGTGGATGTTTGCTGTTGGTGCGCACTCGTGTGCATGTTTGTTGCTTGGCGTGATTGAAACAAGCAAGGGTGGCCAGCAATGTGGACGTACGGATGCTGTGTGCGAGATCCACTGCGCGACTGTCTCGGCATGCTCCTTCCTGAAGGGCCCGTTGAACATGCGGATGCGGTGGGTGTTGCGCGCCTCGTCAAGCGCCTGGTTCAAGACGGGCATGTGTGTGCATTTTATGTGTGTGGTTGTGTGTGTGTTTGTATTGCTGTTGTGAGAAGGCGCTCAATCGCATTGCAAACACCACAACATCAGTGCACAAGTCACAACGTTACGAGGAAGCACGCAACAAAACTTTTCATGCGCGCACACACATACAGGTGCATACATCAACACACACACACACCACACACGCAAAGCCACCAAACAGAAGCAGAAGCAGAAGTAGAAGCAAACTCACGGCGAGGACTTCGAGCTCAGTGCCGCGGGTGTCGATGTAGTGGACGTCGATGCGAGAGTCCGTGTGGCCAAACGTGCGATCGGCAGGACCTTTGCCGTTGAAGCCAAGCACGGGCTGCTCAAAGAACATGCGCAGCGCGCGCGTGTCGACGTTGAAGGGGCTGGTGGAGGCCTCGACGGGAAGCATGATGCCAAACGGAATGTCGGCTGTAACAAGATCGTGGTTGTGGTGGTGGAGTGAGTGGAATGAGTGGTGTGAGTGGTGTGAGTGGAATGAGTGGAGTGAGTGGAGTGGAGGGCGGTTTGGACAAGGCGAGGAAAAGAAGCAACACGCGGAGAACACAACGCAAACCCACGCATATATCATGTGTTCCAAGACTACCGAATGCACACATACATGCTGCGAAACACACTCCACACACACACACACACATTCACCCCCACATTCGCACAATGAACACACACACACACCAACATTCACACAACACACACACACACACAGACCCACACACATTCACACACACCCACACACACACACACACCCTGGACGACGAAGGGGATGGTGACGGCGCGAAGAAAAGCGCCCTTGGTGGTGGTGGCGGTAAACTCAAGAGCAACGTGGTCCACGGGCTCACACACGCCGTGCTTGAACTTGACCCGCCCATGCGCCAGCGTGATGGTGTCGCTGACCGCCGGGTCGCACAGCTGCGCCGTGCCGGCAACATCAGAGACGTTGGCAGAGTTGAGGGCCAGTGCAGCAACGGAGACGTCCAGGAACGCGTCTGGCCCGTCCACAACGTGCTTGCCCTCTGCATCGTACAGCTCCAGGTGCAGCGGGTGCCACATGGGAAAGGTGATGACCTCTGGCATGTCGTCCAGGGGCTTTGCCCACGAAATGCGCAGCTCGCTTGCATCACGGCCCGTGACGTTGAAGGGCGCTGAGACGAGGACGCCCGGGCCCGTGTCGCCGGTGACGTTGAGGGTGTAGCCGGACTGCAGGCACCACGCGCGCCGACGCTCGTCCTCCACCAGATCGCACGACAGGCCCATCTCGGACGTGCCAATGTCGCGCATGAAGAGCATGGCGTGTGTCTCGTAGCCCTCGTACACGGACGGGTACAGGTCGCGGACGGGCCGGAACTCCTCGTCCGTGACATACTGCGACTGCTCCTCCGGCGGGCGCGACTTGAACAGCGTGTACTGCGTCAGCGGCGGCAGCTCGGGGAAGCCCATGCCCGCGCGCGAGTACGGCTCGGGGTTCTGCACGTCGTGGGTGGTCAGGTCAAGGTAGTATGGCTCGCCGCCAGGGTGGGTGATGGTGAAGTTGAGGCGCAGGTTGTGCACGGCCTTCTTGAAGTGGATGCCCTCGAAGACAGCGCCGTAGTAGCCGCTCGGCAGCAGCGACGCGCGCTTGCGCACAGCGAGGTCGTCGGTGAAGATGGTGGTGACCCCGGGCCCGTGCAGCTCAACCTCGGAGTACAGCAGGCGCGCGCTGTTCATGCCATTGACAGAGATGTTTGCCGGCGGGTCCGCAGCAACAATCTTCCGGTCCTGTTTGGTTTGACGGGGGGGGGGGTGGATTGTGAGGCGGGGTGTGGATTGAATGTGTATGTGTGTGTGAGCGTGTATGTGTGTGTGAGCGTGTGCGTGTATGTGTGTGTGCACATCAGCTGGAGGGAACGAAGAGAAGACGGGCGGAGCAAATGGACAGATAGCTACACACACACACACACACAACACACGCACCCATGCGACGCTGAGCTGGATGTCGACGTCTGTGTCTGCGCCGTGGAGGAGCGGGATTGGGGTCGGGTTGCCGTCGGCGTCGCGCTGTTGGTAGTTGAGCGACATCAGCCGCACCTAGCCATGATGAATACAAAGATGGGGGGATGGAGTTGTGTGAGCTGTGTGGTGGGACAGGCCAACGAGTTGCTTGAAGAGGGAGTACGGACGCGGACACGGACATGAACACAGATACATGATACGGACCTTCCTTCTTTCCCCGAAGCTTCTCCAAAAGTCTCTTTCCGGAGAATGAGAAGTGAATCAGGCGTCCGCTATCTTCTAGAAACCGGGTATGAGTACACCCCATAAGGGTCGGGTGGCTAAAGTATGTGAACAAACCGCAAGGATCGCAGCATTAAAGTATTATGCTACGCAGATTGGCAGCAACAATGGCACACGTACAAACAAGCACACCACAGCACGCACAACACAGCAACACACACGTGCTCATGCACGCACAGCACAAGGGCATGCACGCATACATGCACTCACACCACACGCCAGCACAAACGCATCAGACAGACAGACAAACGTGCAAGCAAGCTGTGTCAACTCACGGAAGACGTGGTACGGGTTGCTGACGATGGCGGAGGCCTTGGTCGGGTCCGAGGTTGCGGCGCGCCAGATGCTCTTGCAGCACGCGCCGTTGATGAGCACATCCTGCCCGCCAACGTAGGGGTACCCCGTGGTGGCGTTCTCCACAAACACGGTGGGCGTTGTGGCGAAGAAGGGCGGGAACGTGGCGACGCCGCCGACCGCGCGTGTCTCGTAGGGGTCCTGGCGGATGGTGCGGTGGTCCTCCTGGTACGGGTGCTCGCTGCCAGACGTGGCATACAGCATCTGGCTGCCTGCGTCTGTGATTGCGTTTGCCACGGGCGTCTCATCGGGGAAGATGACGCCGCCAAGGAAGGCCGACTCCGCGAAGAGCGTCACAGCGAGCTCGGAGTCTGGCCCAGAGGTCACCAGGTTGCCGTTGTCGTCCTCAATGCGCACCTTGATTGGGCGCAGGATGTGGGAGAGGACGGGCCGGTTGTATGCGCGGTAGCGGCGCGGGTTTGCTGTGGCCTCCGCCACAGACGGCGGGCTGTAGTCCGGGTCGAAGCGGAGCCGGAGCGCATTGGTTGCTGGCGGTGGTGTGGTGGGGAGAAGGTGATGGTGAGGTGTGCAGTGGCGATGGTGAGGCAGGTGAGATTGAGAAGTGTTGCTTGAGTGTTGGGTTGAAGCGCAGGGGCAAGGAAGGGGATGTTGTGGTGGAATACAGGCAACACTTGTTGCGTTTGGAGGTGTCGTGCAGGGGTAGCTGCAGGCAAACACGCACGGCACAGCAGGAGGGCAGGAAGACAGGGACACTGCATCAGCACTCCTCCTCCTCCTCCTTCTCCAAGACGCACCTGTGAAGCCCAAGACAAGCGTGGCAAGCACTGCCCAGGCAACCAGGCGAAGATGGCTTCGTGCAGAAGCCATGGTGGGTAGGCTAACGAAGGATAGGCCTGGTATCCGACGTGTCTGTGACTGCTGATCTGTGTATGTCTCTGTGCGGCAGTGGTGGCTGTTGGGGGTGACAGACTTTGCTGTGTGATCTGCAGCTGAAGCGTGTCAGCAGTGAAATGACAATGGTGGCGGGTGCAGCTCCGGGTGGCGATGTGCTGCTGTGTGTGCGACGCGGAAATGCTGCCTCACATGCACTTCAACAGCCAGCAGTGTCCCCTAACGTGACAGTGCAAACAAATGGGGGTGAAGTGGCGGTGAGGAAGGGCAGCAGGATCGGCACCTTGCCTGTGTGTGTAAGTGTGTGTGTAAGTGTGTGTGTGTGTGTGTGTGTGTGTGTGTGTGTGTGCGTGCGTAAGTATGTGTGTGTGTGTGCGTGCGTGTGTGTAGGAGGTAACGACACGCGGTGAGCAAGCTTGTTGTTGCGTTCCTGTGTTGTGGTTGCTGCGGTGCATGCACGATGCAGTGAATGCAACCACATGCAACCACGCACTTGCCTTCAAGCACGAAGCGCGCGCGTGTCACACATGACAGCCGGGGGCACGATCATCTGTCACTTGGTCGTGAGACAGCTCAAAGGGATCCGCATCGGCTTGCACTGCCATGCTCTCATCATACGCTCATGAACAAACACAGCCACAACGGGAAGATGGGGAAACAAGAGAGTTTGCTTGCTGTGTGTGTGTTTGGTGTGTGTGCGTGTGTGTGTGTGTGTTTGTTGTGTGTGCCTGTCTCTGTGTGTGTTGACAGCTGAAGAGAAGACGGGGAGGGAGAGGGGAACATGATTCCGATCCAGCCAGCAGCTGTGCACAGTGAACAAACAACAACAGCGCGTGTTTGTTTGTGTTTGTGTTTGTGTTTGAGGCTGGTTTTTGCCAATTGCACTTGTGCCGTTACTTGCAATTGGCAAATGTTTGCCTGGACGTGTTTTGTTTGGGCGCGCGCAAGAAGGAAGCCAAGACAACGCAGGCGCTGTTGCAGGTGGTCAGGGTGGTGGAAGCAAGTGAGTTGGAGGTGTGGCGAGAGAGAGGGAGAGGGAGTGTGTGTGTGTGTGTGTTTGTGTGTGTAGTTGTGTAGTTGTGTGTGTAGTTGTGTGTGTGTGTATGTGTGTGTATTTGTGTGTGAGAGAGACACACAAGGTAGATGAGATGGGCTGGTTGTCTCGCTCTTTGTCTGCACTGGCTGCGGCATTGCATGGATTGGAGACGGACGACGTGGGCGTGGATCAATGTGGAGGGAAGTGTGGAAGGTGGAGGAGGGGGAAGACGACATGCACACGCATGCATGCACACACACACACACACAGACACACAGACACACGCATGCATGCACACACACACATCATGCTCACGTATGCACACACATCATTCTCACGCAGCTCACGGCACTTGCGCAAACGATCACTCAGACCATGGCTGCGCAGCAGGCGAGGTTGATGAGGGAGATATACAACTGGACTATTCACGAGTTCACTTGACGCAACGAGCAAACTGGTACATGTGCGGTTCTTCGAGTGACCAGCACTCGTCAACACAGAAATGCGGACGGAAAGTGTGTGTGTGTTGCGCATCACAAGCTCAGACAGCAGAGAGCACAAGCAACATGCTTGGAGTAAGGAGGGCATTTGTACATGGAGCCTTCAAGCGCGTTAAAATCTGAACGAGTCCTTGAGCTCGCGCGTTGCCAGCAAGTTTGCGTTTCTCCACGAATACGCCCCGTTCTTCCACAAGCAAATCATCTGCGACCGAGGGGGGGGGGGGCAGTGAGGTGAGGAGGGGAGAGGGAAGGTGAGGGCTGAAATGGGATAGCGAGTGCACCAAACAAACGTGACAGATGAGGATCACACGCTTTCATGCAAGTGTACGCACACAAGCAAAGAAACACAAACAAAGAAACACAAACAAGCACAAACAAACACACACATATACTCACACACACACACACACAAGCACAACACAGTCCACAGCAACGCACCTGTTCTGAGCTGCAGGTTGCGAACATGTACGAGCTTATGGTTTCGCAGTCTGCGATGGGGTCCGCGTGCACCTTCATCTCGCCAATACACAGCGGCCTGTGGGGGTCGAGGGTGCCCATGTTCTTGCGTAGGGGGCGAGGGAGGGCGCCTGTGTCGTGCGTGGTGTGCTGCTGCCCCGGTGGTGGGTTCTCTGCTGTTGACAGCGACTGTACGAGCAATTTGCACATTTGTTCACCAGAGCGCGGCGCTGCGTTGAGCGCAAACTGCGATATGCACCTGCAACAACATGCACCCGTGCATGTGTGCGTGCGTGCGTGTGTGTGTGTGTGTGTTTTCGTGTGAGTAAACACATGCATCCATGCATCCATACGTCCATGCATCTCGCTGTGTTATTTGTTGTGTGCGCCGCACGACACAACACGGCTCACCAAAGCTTGACTGCATCTGAGCTGCATGTGAGGAGGAAGTGGCCGTTGTGAATGAGGGCCATCTTGTGGATTTCTCCCAGATGTGCGTCCTCCACCTGATCACCAGCAATGGGAGCGTGGTTTGTGATTGACAGAGAATGTGAATGTGCGTGCGATGGTGTGCGTGTGATGGTGTGTGTGTGTGTGTGCGTGTGTGTGCATTCGTGCGTGCGTGTGTATGCGTTCAACGCATGATAGTTGACCTTGTCATGGCAAAGCACAAGTGCAGCAGAGCAAACCAACATGCAAAGGCAACATGGGACGGGCTTACCTCAGCACATACTGTTCGATCTTGGATGGACACCTGTCATGTGCATTGATTGAGTGATGATGTGTTGGTAAGTGAGCAGTCATTTATGCAGCTGCACACAAGTACATCTGCAAACACAGACACAGAAATACACAGAGACACACAGACACAGACGCAGACACACACATCTGCGTCTACCCACACACACACACACACAACTGCATCTGCACACACACACACATACACACGCACCACGAGAAAGCCGTTCTTGAGGGCGATGGCGGCGTGTTGGTTTGGGAGCGGCAGAATAAAGTTGACGGAGCGTGTGTACAGCTTTGTTGCCTCATCGTAAAACACCTCGGGGGCATTCACCAGCACCTTACACAGCGTGAGCGAGCGCGCCAGCCACAGAAACACGGAGCCGTCCTTACAGCCGGATGCAAACAGGTTCTCGGTGATTTCCGCAAGACACGTGATGGGGCGTTCGTGGTCGCGCTTGAGTTGCCGCGGCTTTAAGATGGAGCCATGTTCCCTGTGGTCCCCGCTCACATATGGTGCCAGTGTCCCTTCTCCATCAAGCGCAATCTCCCAGATCTGGTGCGAGTCTGTGACGACGCCCAATATGGTCTGGTTACGGCGCAACACCAGCAGCGTGTGGAAGGCGAGGTCCGGGTTCTCTTGCGGCGCTTTTGCCACGAGTTTGCCGTGGCAGCTGAACACATACAGCTGCTGGCCGCCACAGCAAAATGTCGTGTCGTTCACGGGCGCCAGCACCCGGATCACGTCGTCCGGCACGGAGATGGTCTGGCGTGCGCGTCGTCGGGTATGTTTCGTGTCGGTGTACGTGCGCCATAGGCAGAAAGTGAACGTGTTTTGTGAGCGTACAAGCGTGTGTGTGTGTGTGTGTGTGTGTGTGTGTGTGTTTGACGCACACGCTGAAGGCATGCAAACACGTGCTGGAATGACATCAAAGGTACAGCAGCCAACGACAGGAACCAAATCAATCCTCCCTCACGCAACAAGGCAGATGGCGCCATGTGACTCACGTTTCTGCACTCGCCGCAGGATGGATCCCATAGCCTGATGGTCTCATCGTGCGATGCGGTGACGACTGTCTTGTGGACCATCGCCGCGCAGGTGATGGGTCGTGTGTGGCTTTGCAGGGTGGAGAGCAGCTGGGCGTGGTCTGTGCTCCAGACTTGTGCCGTGTTCTCGCTCACAGAGAGCAAGCGGTGGTCATCCAGCTTGAGCAGCTTGGTGACAGATGCGCTGTCTGGAATCAGGAGTTGCACCTCTGTGAATGGGTTGAGCGACAGCAAGGTCCGGGCCACCTCCTGCTCCGTCCGTTCGCTGGAGCCAATGGTCCTCCTCCACATCGCGGACAGGGAGCTTGATCTGCTGCGCTGCTCCTGCTGCACGGCTTTGGCTCGCGGGGTAGCCTTCTTGGGTGACTGTGCATGGGTTCCATCATCCTGTGCATGTGGCTTGTGCTTGGCGTCCTGTTCCTTGCCCGTGTGCGGTGCGCTTGAAGACGACGATGCGGGCGATGACGATCCGTCCGTTGTCGTTGTCGATGTGGAGGAAGCTGGCTCCTCGCTTCGGCGAAACAGCGCTTCCCGCAGCGACTGCATCCTTGCTTGGGGGCTCTGTCACGTGTCTCTACTGTCAAACCGCGCGTGTCCAGATGGATGAAGGGAGGGGGGATCAATTGATGGATCGGGGTTGAGGCTGGAGGTGTGGACGAGGACACAGCAGGTGGTGGTGATGTTTGTTTTGTTTGTCGTCTTCCTCCAAAGGTTGCCGAGAAATGACCAATATCTTGGTGTATTTTTCCCAACTTCACCTGCTCGCTCGCTGCCGCTTGCTTGCTTGCCTTCTTGCCTTGTGTGTTGTGCGTGGCTTACTGGGTGGTCTTCATGGCGAAGAACAAGACGGTCTTGGTGCTGGCCATCTTTGCTGGGACCCTTATTGGCGGCGGTTTCGGCTTTCAGTTCTTGGAAGAGCAGCGCCACCAGTACCTGGTCAGTCTGAGTGTGTGTGTGTGTGTGTGTGTGTGTGTGTGTGTGTGTGTGTGTGTGTGTGTGTGTGTGTGTGTGTGCCTGTCTGTCTGTCTGTGTGCGTGTGTGAACACGGGTGAATGCAGCAGCTTTATGGACAGAGTGTTGTTTTTCTGCTGAGCTCACGCTCACGTGCATTGCCGTGGTTGTGCGCGATGCAAGGACGACGCTGTTGAGAAGTTTGAGCGGCGCCGGGCAGAGCTGGAAGCAGAGAAGGCCGCTAATCAAGCCCTGTTGGACCAGGCCGCCTCATCATCTTCTACTTCCAACAACTGAAGAGCCATGTCGTCTGTCATCGAGTGCGTGAATGACGATGGAGGGAAGCGCTTTATTTGCAGTGGTTGAGCTGGGCAGTGTCCGCGTGGTCATACACATGAAGGTTTCCCTCGCTCGTTTGAACTGCTTGCATTGATGGCGTGTTTGCTTTGTGCTGGATTTCAGAGACGCCGTGAATGCTGCTGAAGCCCTCAAAGGTGCACAGTTGTACGTGTATGTGTGTGTGTATGTTTGCCTCTGTGTGCAATGCCACGTGGATACGCATGTGAGATGGCGAAGCCCAGCTTTCTCGCTGGAAACCAAAATGGCCGTGCAACATCACACCAGCATCCATGCGGCTTATTTCACACACACACACACACACTCACTGGTGTTCTTGTGTGCACCTGTAGGGGAAGCGACGCCAAGGAAGCTGGCGGATGCAGACTACCGCACGGAGATTTTCCCGCGCATCCGTGCGTTCCGCTTCCAATGTCAGCAGGCGATCCTCTCTGCCCCGCAGCTCGCCGTCGAGAAGGCCTTGGTGAGGGGCGTGTGCTTGTTGCTTGTGTGTATATGAATGTATGCGAGTGCTGTGTGTTTGTACGTCGTGTGTCCGTGTGTCTGTGGGTGTGTGGGGTGTTTTAACACTGTCAACACGCCACACTTGTGCTCGTGCGCGCTTGCACAAGTACTCATGCTCACGCATGCGCCTGCGCCTGCGCTTGTATCCTGTACGTCCTGTCCAGCCTGAGCTGTTGTGGCGCGTTGGGTTCTACAAGTTGGTGGAGTTTTACCGACAGCGCCGCAGCCGCAACCCAAAGGAGACTGACGGTGCGTGCTTGTGTATG